TCTTCTAGATGAACTTCTTGAATCATATTTATAGAACGTGTTAATGACATTCTGATGTGTGTATATTCCAACGAGTAAGGCTATAGTATTTGAATTAGATTTTTAACGATTTACGGAGGGGAAATCAAAATCCAAAAAATATCCTGAAATATTCCTTAATTTATATTTTCAATGGGTTCAGGTATGACAAGTTAGAAAGCTCTAATGCTATCTGAGATTTTTAATATCCTCCATAATTTGTATCTAGAATTAAAATAGACAAATAAAAGCCATTAGGACCCCAAGACTTGAACAATCATCTCCTACTCAACGAGCATAAACTCACCCAATATCGCCACTTCATAGTAAAAATGTCCGATAGCCCTTGGCTTGTAGGTAGCATTAAAAAGACAAATAAAAACCGACATTAGGACTCCAAGATTCGAACCACCATTGTCTAAGCAACGCGCATCAACTCTACCAACACCACCGCCGCCTGGCAGTAAGCACAGAACTTCCTCTAAGACTACCACCTCTACCGCCACTGCACTGCTTGTAAAAGAAGTTACAAATCTCAACAAAAGTAGTCGCTGACAATTCAAACACAATTGAACCGTAACTGTAATTCTTCGAAGAATGCACGGATTTTAATGTATATGTATACACGTGTAGGAAAACTGAGCGCGCTTGACGGTGCCTGCCTCGTGCTTTTGCTAATTGACCAAACGTTTTGCTTAATACCTTCTGTGTGACTTAACGGATTTGATTGAAATTTGTAGTACATTATTAAAAAATTCTATTAGAATATTTGATAATTTATTAAAAATACAAACTTATTGGCATATATATATTCTATACTTACAGCTTAACTTCAAAGTGAAGAATTTGGCTAAATTGGGAGCCAGTGTCTAATATATATCGAAAATCGAAATTGAATAAAAAGAATGAAACAGCGTGCACAATTTAAAGACTTGCTTTAAAGATGTAAGATATATAATGTAATAGCAATAATATAAATAGTTGATGAAATCACGCCTCTTTGGACTGTTACACACATATTGGCAAAGCCAATATATACTGAATTTACAGATTATATTTTTACTTCCATATTGGGTATGGAAAACCTCACATACCTGAAAAATTATATGAGGTACTGGTGACCTTCGCTATTGCTGCAAGAAAAAAATTGTACGCTCCTTTGGGGCGCAGCAAATTAAAAAGACCTCGTATTCTCAATGTCGGCCATCTGAGTGTCGTCCACCTGGCAGAAGTCTTTCTGAGTTACACACTTCTTTTAAAGTAATAAGACGAGTACACGGTTTACGCGATAGCATGGGCGGACAGACAGACTGATGGACAGCTTGTCGTCCTGACTAAGAATATTTATAAACGTTATCAGGGGTATATATACTAAATTGTGAGCTTATCGATTTATAAATATAAACGTTATCAGGAGTATATATACTTAATTCTGAGCTTCTCGATGATTCCTGGCCGGATTTCTGTTTGAAGATGAAGATGAAATGTCTGCAATATGTAAAGACTCAGTGCTCAATATTCATGGAGTATTCTGAACTGGGTCACGTGTTTCGCCCAAACTACACTTCAAGCCTTACAGGAGCTCCATCGTGTCTTACATTGTTTGGTTTTATGGTGTCCTGATCAGTCTACTAAAAACAATGGCTAAAATCATCTTTTATCAGCTGTGGATGCATAAGTTTAATTGGGACGAGTCTTTATCGGAACTTCATTCAGGTCTTGACATCTGCAATAAAATTTGGAACGGTCTTAGTAAGGTAAATTCGTGATTGACGGTAGCTCCAGGAGAGAATGTTGAGTTTCCTGGCTTATAGGGCCTGTGGTTAAATTGTATACAAAGGACAAGATAACATTATCAGGTTACTTTATTGAAAGTGTCGGATAGCTTTAAGTATTGGTTCTAATTCGCTTAATCGCTATACGGAATCTCACATCGACATTGAGAGTGACACTATGTACCTACACTGCGAAGTCCTGCTGGCATATTAAGTCGAGGTTTACTGCCTATTGAGTTGAACGCATCATCACTTTGATTCAGCGGTCCACAGTTCATATGTAAGCCCTAGTTCAAATGGCCAATATCAGCGCTATGCCTCAGTCGAAGTCAAATGATCATGAGCTGGAAGTATGCGAACTTCGCTGGTCGACTGTAGCATGTTTTGCTCGGAGGTCATTTTCCAAAAAGCATGGTCCCGCAATTATTCTCATAGACGTCCGCATCGGCCGCATATACTATATATTAATACGCTTCGAACTAAAGGAACGAGGAAGGAAAGTTTTGCAGTCTGCTAGCTGATGCAAGCTCTGTCTATCTGTATGTGACTTATGCCAAAGATCATATTGAAGGCTGCAGTGGTTTTGCACTGACTGGAATAGATTTTTACGAACTTTTCTTTTAAAAGCCTGCTGTTTAATTTGCATCGCTACGAAGGCTGTCTGGTTAGAAATAGTCAATGATGTACTGTACTGCATTTTTCTGTGCTCTCCACGTCTTATATGCATAAACTATCTTGGTACCCGCAATCTTAACTTCCGATTGAGGGTACCAAGAAAGTTTATGCATCTAGCGTCTATTTCTTTTAAATAATCAGAATGCAGTGATGGCTTCCTCACTTGTTGGAAATGGGACTTGCCTATGACGAGCTACTCACTCTAGTCTGCCACATTGAATCTGTTATAATTTCGGACCCTTCGTTCTTGATTTTTTAGCAAGCCTAAGATTATAAAATCAAATTCCAATTGCTCGTATCCCTGGCAGCGTGAATCTATCTTCAGCATTTGTTCTTGTTACGTTGGTGGGAAGAAGATAAACCTTCTGCAACAGAGAGCAAAATTGAGAACATTTCATTATGGATGACATCTCGCCGCCACTTAAATGGCCACTAACCAGGATAATTGAGCACATCCCTGTATGTGACGACGTCAACCGAGTAGCCGCCCTAGAAAATGCAGCTGGTGAACTTAGATGAGTTACAAACCATACGTATCTGCTGCCGCTTTGGCTCAACAACCGCCGCTACGTTTCATATTTTAATTTAAGAGCTGTAGTTTGGCCTATATTCTAACTTTTGTAAAAGTTAATCTGGCTAGCTCACGTTAGCAAATGCACTACAACGGCCTTTCGTAAAGCCTAAAATTAGTTTGTTCGACTCTTCACGGAAATGTTGCCTGTATTAATTAGTACTAGTTTCGTTGGAAGCATTCAGACTATTGGTGTTGGCCTGTTTAATGACCTTGATAAGCTGTACTTTGGCCATCAATTCAGACGAATATTAAAGACTTTTTGCCCACCTCACGAATAGAACCTACGCCTCATCGCTCACACGGATCAGCCATAGTCACTCGGCCACTTTGTTTCATAAGCGCCACATTGCTAAAAAGCGCAAATCCGAAACTAAAGTAATCAGTGACCGTGTGCTTCATTGAATAGAAAAGCATACATGCGTTTTAATGTATGTGAGCATATATGTATAAAAAAACAAGTAAGAAAGTTCTAGTTGGGCTGCGTTATTCAATATTTTCAGCAGCTTATATCTAGCATGAAATAAGGACACACATCTGCTACGCAACGCGCGTCACCTTTACCATTTCCGTCACTTAGTATTTGTAACATGGAAAGAAAAATCAAAAAACCCCTCGCGTTCCCTGGATTTAAGCACTGAACCTCTCGGTAACAAGCGCCGTCTATAAAATCACTCTCACTGCAGTGCTTCTTCGAAAATGTTCCAGATACAAACTAAAGCAGCAGCTGACAATTCAAACATAATTTAATTCTTCGACTAGAAAAGAATGCTCACATTTGAAAAATGCGTACGCTTGGCGCTCTTTGCGTCGTGCTTTATAAATTGACCAAACGTTTTCCTTAATAATTTCTGTGTTACTTTACGGATTTTAGCCGCTTAGTAAAAATACAAACTTAGCCCTATGTCCGACTGAACTTAAATTTAAAGAATTTGGCGAAATATGGAGCCGGTATCCAAAATATAACAAAAATTAAAGTTGTACAAAATATACATAAAATTAAATAAATTTGGTGGCTCTCTCTAGCTATTAAGTCGTATGAGGTATAATTTAATAATCGATAACAAAAAAATGGGAGCAGATATCATTTACACATACAGACAGCATACGCTGAATTCACATTTTCAATTTCATTTGCAATTAAACTTTAATTTGAAGAACTTTGTAATATTGAGGACAGTATTCAATATATAAAAATAAGTCTATGTTACTTTAATTATACTGCTGTTAACTAAATGCATATTCTAAAAGGCTTTCTATCGTTTACATACGATTGCGGTAAAATGTATCGATGTTTGGTTGAAATGGCCTGAACAAAATCAATCTGCCTTAATTTTTCATTTTCATGGGGTTCAGGCTATAAAATTAAAAAAATTTAATGGCTAAGATACATCTATCTGATCAAAAAAGAACCAAAATATAAATGTTCTCTAAATGATCTTTAAGTCCAAAACAGTGCTGTAAAATGGACTTATGTGAAAATGAAGGCAACCCTATAAAGGCATGACATTTTCATACAAACGTGACGTCATCTCGTTTTTACGTTTAGTGAGAGAAAATAAATTGATATGTGTGAGTGCTTAGGCGTAGTAGCACAGTAAGAAATAATTAGGTGATTTTAGTAGTTCTATATGCCTTACAAAAGAAGTGAGAATAAATGATTATTTTACAGACTGAAGTAAAAATTGATGTATTACATATTGATTAGAGAAACGTATAAGCAACAAGAGGGAAAGTTTATTTGTGTGTGTATACCGAGAGTTTCTTTAATAACTTAGATTCAGTGTACGGAAGTGTGTACATTATTTTGTATTCCCCCTGGGTTTTCCGTAGTAAAAGAGCAAAAAAATGAGAAAATAAGAGAATACCAATGTATTATAGTATTGGTGCATCGTGTGGCATTAAGAATACGTGACGATTATTATTTTGCTTTTATTCAGATACATTCTGTGTAAACTAAAGTGAAGTCAATTATTTTGCACCTCATGTTCAGAGTGACTACAATATCATAGTTGAATATCATAATTACATTTATACATACATATGTATATATATCAGTTGAGGAAATGCTTAAGTACCAGCAACATAAAAATTGTGACAAAAGATTGTGAAAGTTATCTTTAAAACAATAATTATATGGTGAACTGAAGAAAAAAATAAATTATAAAATAGGAAGAACAAAATTGCTAAACCAAATGTACTATCTCGTAGCGTACAGTTAGCAATTATTACAGCCGAAAGGCTGTAGCAATCATAAAAAATATAAGACGGAAATATAAATTAAATAACCATATCAATATCAGTATAGCTTGCTGAATAACCAACACAAACTTGCAGCATAAACCACCCAAAAATTTCAGCCCACGTTTAGAAAATCAATATTAATTCTAGTCTAACTGAATTTTGTATGGTGGCATTTTGTAGCTGTCAGTATAACTTTGATTATATACAAATGGCGAGTCTTCGATTTTTTTAATTTTTATCGTGGATTGTACTACGAAATTCTACAGAAAAATTATATAATTGCCTATAGCGGGGTTCCTGCTACAGAGGTTAGTTTAATTATACAAGCTGATTCTGAAATGGTAAAAGGTCACACTGGGACATTTACAATGCGCTTAGTTCGAAGTAAATTACGCAAACGAGACGAATCCCGTTCTGAATACACAAATGGTGAAGTCAAGGATCATCAGGACAGAGAAGATGATTATCCAGCTCCAAAAAATTTTGAAAATTCTGAAACACAGGCCAATAAAACTTGTAACACTTTTATTAAAGACAACCAACATGTAACGTTCCTTCGAACTAGTGGCGTTACTGCTGAAGTTGTTGAACACGCAGATGTAACAGAAAATCCGGAGTGGACGTTTCCCCCAAAAGCACCAGTACCTCATATCTATCATATAAATCAGGTACGTTTTTGTCTTAAGAAAAATATTTATATTTGGTCAATATATTAACATATATTCTCATATATTATATAAATACATGGAAATGTTTGCAAATATTAATGGACAATAGTTTTAAAGAACTTTAAACCCTGGTTATATCAATAGGGATAGGGATGTAAGGATTCGATATATTGGTCTTTGGCAAAATGCATGTAATAGGCATTTCCTCCCTACATACCCCAACCTAAAATGAACGCATTCTTGAGAAGTTTTTTTTACCATGATCCCGAATATGGGAAATCAGGGTATAATAGAATTATGCAAATGAAGGGAACATCCAGAAAGAGGCGTGGCAGATCCCATAAAGTATATATATTGTTGATCAGGATAACAAGTCAAATCAATTGATCGCGTCGATCTCAGCATCTATAAGAGCTAGATAGTTGGAAATTTTTGTAGGTCCGTGTATAGCACGTGCATATCAGGTTTGTTTAAAAAAAATGAAAATTTTATCAAAATCGATTAACTAAATCAGAAATCATTAAACAAAACGTTTGACCAATTTGCAAAAGCATTTACTTACTTATTTTTTTGTGTACGTTAGTCGCCATAAAGAATGTGTGGAATACTCATTTCTTATGGAGGAGGTAATAAAAAATATATGATGTTTAGCATAAATATAATCTTTGGGGTAAAGGTGAAATAGATGCTCTTATAAATATAATTATATGAAGAAAATTTTTAAAATAAGAGTTTGGCATGGAGCTTGGGGTTTTTCTAGATACATGTTACGTTAAAATGAGTATGGGGAGGTAGCAACAGTAAAATATTTATAATTATTTAATGTGAAAATATGAATATTTAACCAAATATAGATCGATCTGCCGCTTATTTGAATTTTAACAATGGTTTCAATACAAGAAACTACTATTTTGAACAAAATCATAGGCTCAAATATACTTTTTCTATTTATTTAATTTCAATAATATCGCCAAATTATAGAATCCACCCACAAAGCGAACTGACATTGTAAACAATGCATAAAGTAAATATGCAATTTACCGACCTTTAATTTATAGCATATTATTTTATATTTATTTAGATAATAGTCACTTTTTATATAATAATGTAATAATATAATAATAATAATAGATATTTTTATTATAATTTCAGGAGATGTTGGTAGCTAACGAAAAATTAGGCTTTAGAGGATTTCGCAAACAGTTCAGTGGTCGGTTTAAACGTTTAGTTGCTCGAAAGCTTGAGCCTGCACCAGTGATACCCCCAGAACTAAAACCGCAACTAAAAACAATATATGTATATTAAAAAATGTATATAAATATGTATGCATATGTATTTAATATAGTTAAACTGGTGACAGCCGAAAAATAAATTTTTAAAATTGTAATTCAATAGAATACAAAATGGTACCATTTGGAACTCAAATACAATTTAAATTAATCTGTTCTTGCTGATATTCGTAGGCTAGAGTCTTCTCGCATCATCATTAAAAAGAATAGTTACCCACGCCCACTTTAGTACCCAAAAACTAAAATATTCATCATATGGCTTTCAAACATGAAAAACGGGACTTACGCACATTTATGCTATATGCTTATACATACATATATGTGAATGGATTTCGGATTTTTAGATACCATAACTGTATTTAACAAAAAAGAGGTTGAATCTCGAATCTTAATCACTTTAAGGTTAGAATATTTTGAAGACGTAATATACTGGTGATATTCGAGTTATGGATTTAAATTCAGCGTGTGGAAAGTAGTTTGATTCATCTAATGTATGTGTCATGCTTAAATTAAATAGACTCACTTCGCCATTAGCGAACATAAGCCTTGCGAAAAAGGACTTGGGAAACACAATTGAAGTTGAGAATTGAAGTGACGATTTTATCGATTATGGCTTTACAGAGAATGATACGATATTCATAATACTTTTCACTTTTCCCCCTTGTGCTGCTTTATCTACTTTTTTGGTTTTACTTGAGCGTCATCATTTTCCAAATATTGCTCTCAGACAGAACTTTAATCACAAGTTATGTTAGGCTCATTAATTTAGTCAGTTAAGTTTCCCGGGAGTACTGTTTTTCAAACATTAGTGAAGTAGAAAATGGTTGTGGCAAAGCCAAATTTTTCCCAAACCGAAAATGTAAGTATCCTATACTAAGAAATTGAATCATATGTGCCTAAGCTGTGGTGTGTGAGATAATAAGATTATGGTTATTTTTAGTTGGTTTTCCGGTTGAGTCTTAATAACATATGATTTAGCAATGATATAATATTTCTTAACACAAATTTTACAATAGCTTTATTCGATTCTAATTCACTTTTAACTTTTAACATATTAACCATTGAGTACCTTCACGTGAGGCTTTCATATTCCACTTTTCTTTTCGTTCTTTGTATAAGCTAACTTTAATAACGAGGCATTAACTTTCCAGTTGGCATCGTCACCTGCTTATGATGAATAGTGATTGAGTTAACTAAATTGTTTTATCTAACTTAAGCTAATTTTTTTATTGCCAATTTGATGACTTATGGGAGCACTGTTATATTCGGTATCTTTTTAAGCAATAGATAGATTATACTTTAAAGATAACCTGAATAGATTTATCAATTAGTTAACATATTTAGCTTTCTACTGGCACAAACGGGTCAGAGGTTTTCATCCGTGGCTTTGAAATAAATTCATGTGTAATAATAAAATTATAAACTGTATTCTTTTCTTTAAAAGCGAGAAAGTCATTGCTTGAGCACTTTTTTCCCCTTCATACTTGATCAATTTTTCCCCCACATTGTAAATAATTGAATCGTTAAAAAGTAATGTAATAAAATAAAATCTTAATTGACAATATATATTTGCACATTATTGTTTGACCACAAATATTTAATATAACCTGAGAGTAGTAAAAATATATGTTATGGGAATTTATTCATGTAAGTGTCCGAACCCGCATAGCTCAAGGCAAACTTTAGAGAGCCTCAATTATAGCTATCGTTTTTAATAGCTCAAAAAGGTACCAACCAATCGTATCTGCATTTTTTAATATTTTCAATATTTTCGAGCACTTAGAAAAGGACTTATAAAAACCGACATAATTTTATTGAAATTTTGAGCAGAATATGTAAATATTAACATATTCTGTTGGAGTGCTTTCCAGCTTAGTACTTAGTACCAGCTCAGTGACAAGTAAGAAAGCTCTAGTCGGGGTGCCCGACTAGGAGATACCCTGATCCCAGTCCTAACTGAGTTTTTTTTAATATTTTCCGTGGTTTGTAACGAGTATTCAAAAAATAAATAAATAAATAAATAAAAATCAACATTACGACACCAGGATTCGCTGCTGACATGTGCTTTTGCAAATTGGCCAAACTTTTTGGTTAATAACTTCTGTTTTACTTAATGGATTTTAATGAAATTTTCTATGCTCTATCTATTGGCTTTATATGGCCCTATTTCCAACTAATCTTAAATTTTAAGAATTTGGGGAAATTTAGAAACGGTATCCAAAATCCAACAAAAATCAAAGTTGCATAAAATACACCAAACTAAATACAAAATGTTGAGTCTCTAGCTCTTCAGACGTACGAGATAATAATTTATTAACTACATTTCAATCATGTTTTTATTCGATAACCATTAAGTGTGAATATTTATCGCATATTTGAAACAAACTCGATATGCACATACGGACAGACGGACGGACAGGGCTCAATCGACTCGGCTTGTAGTCCTGATCAAGAATATTTATACTTGAATGCCACGCCTCCTTCTGCCTGTTACATACATTTGCACAAACTATTATACGCGGATTTCCCATTTTCAATAGGATCAGCGAATAAAAATGCAAACTCTTTTACATGTAGGACCTATGTGAATCTGAACTTAAATTTAAAGAATTTTACGAAATTTGGAGTCGAAATCCAAAATATAACAAAAATAAAATTGTATAATATATATGTTGGAACGTCACTCATATTATTATTGTTAGGTATTGCTTTAGCGCAGCGAGTTTCGATTACACTTAGATCTCAAATACAACTGAACATTGTCAGTCTCTTATTCCTTATGCCTTCCATGGAACCACACTCGGCGACAGTTTCTGTAGCTGTCGCCTCGCTAAAACGGTACTTTACCAAACTACAAAACACAGGAAACCAATCACATAATGTTGCAATTATGTTTCTACAAAAATGCTCGAAGACGCACCAATACATTGTAGTGTGACCTTCAAACATATTACCAGCACGCGCCAGCAAGGCCTCTGTACATTTAGACTACCTACACTCCGACACGGCCATCCTGACCATAACACGACCTCGTGTAATTCCACAAAAATGTTTTACTGCAGAAATCATTTTATTCATAAATTATCGTAGAATTTAATATTAACAGTTTCAATACAACTTTATCAATTACAACTACCCAATTTTAGCTTCAACTTTTATTTTCTTCCAGAATTTTAATTTCACCTTCATATAAAATTCATCTTTAAATTAATTTAAGTTTCTTTATCATTTTTTTCATTACCATAAACCCAACTGGTTTCGATTTCCACCATCTTATGCGCCACACGCCATGATCAAACATTTGTTATGCACTTGTGCTTGCATTATTCTCTTTCAACAGTTTCGATTATATCAATACTGTTTCTTTCAAAAGTTTCTTTTCCAATCATTTCATTACTGTCTTCTTCAACAGTTTCTATTTCAATCATTTCATTACTGTCTCTTGCAACGGTTTCTGTTTCATTCATTTCATAACTGTCTCTTCCAAAAGTTTCTATTTCATTCATTTCATTTCACTTTCAACAGTTTCTGTTTCAATATCATTTAAAGCCTCTTCCCTGCTTTCTAGTTCAATTGGTACATACTCCTCAGGTAATTTTCTTATAACTTCGTGAGCATATTTGTACTTTCTATTATTTGTCAATGATCTATCTATATATATATATCTATCTGCGTCTAACAATTCAGCTATTTACTCTAAACATTGGGCTGAACTTTATTTGATGCCTTTCTTCATTCTTCAACAACACAAAATCTCATACCTTGTATCCTGAAAAAGCCCTGGTTCTATCAAAGTGCGTTTTTCTATATGCTGCAGCTGCTGATATATTTTGCACCGCTCGAGCTGTTGATTCTGCCAAATCAACTTCTTCTGCCATGTCACATGGTGGAAGCAACCTTTTCAATAAACAATTCCAAAGGACTTGCCTTTGTCACTCGACATACTGTACAATTTAAGGCTAACTGTACTTCGCCCAATGCGTCTTGCTAAGATCTGTTGCTAGTCTTAACTGCCGTTAGTAAGTTTTTTAAAGTGCTCATTATGCGTTCTACCTGTCCGTTGGCCCTCCTTGCACATGTCTCAATTAAATGCAAATTTATTTTTTGCTAAGAACAAAACTCTCTAAATTTAGAGCTGGCAAAACACATTCCCTGATCTGCTATAATGCGGTTTGGTACTCCAAGCAAAGATACAGCCAATTTCACCGCACCTATACAATTGTCAGCAACGATCTTGAGTGTGTCCTAAATAAACAAATTTAGTAAAAGTGTGGATGAAATCTAGCTTGAATTTCACCTGACGATGACTTTGACATCTTGCAAGTAACACAGTTATCAACAAACTTTCGTATGTACATTTGATCGAACCAGTAATAATCATATGCCTTATCTAAGGTCTTCTCGCAACCCAAGTGCATGATTGATTCGTGAATCTGATTTATTTCAGACCATCTAAATGCTATGGGAACAATTGGCAAACATCGAGTTCTACCATTTCTCTGAATTTTCCGATAAATTATTCCTGCTATTAGCTTGTAAGTTTTTGCAATGTCTTCGGCAAGAGAGTTATCTTTTAGTTTATTCACAATATTAATAATATCGAAATCTTTGCGCTGTTCAGCCATAAGCCATTCACTAGATATCTCCGCCAGATTGACTCGTTTCTCAGAAATTTTACAAGTATCAATCGCATCCGAGGATGGGACATTTCTGGAAAAGAAATCTGCATGAGCCATTCGTTTACCCTCCCTATACTGTAAATCAAATGAGACTGTAAATAAGCCCACCATCTTTGGGCCCTGGGAGATAGGTCACATTTGGTTCTTGATGCTTTAAGAGAATTACAATCGGTAAAAACAACGAATTCTCTACCTGTTAATTAATGAAGAAAATGCTTTATAGCCATGACAACCGCAAGAGTCTCCAATCCATAAGAATAGTATCTTGACTCAGCAGATGAAGCAGCCTTAATGAAAAGCTCAACAACATTATTGATTTTATGTAATAGGAAATCACCGTAACCACGAGAAC